TTGATGGAGATCTTGTCCTGACCCCGTGCTTCCCAAATGAGGAGCCACCCCTGGTGGCTGGGCCAGGGGTCCTGAGGTTTAAAACCAGAGCCTTCTCCTGGGTCATCAGGTTAACAGAGATTTTTTTGTTGAAACTGTGTGTCTCTATGTGTGATTTAAGCATTCAAACCAGCGCTGATACATCATGAAGTAAAGTGAAAATTCACATGAATTTTTAATATAAACCATGACACTTGAAAGCAATTGCGTGCCCTGACCGGCTCCCCCTGGGCTGTGACTACACACCCTCTCGCCCTGCCAAGGGGTTCTCTGGGCCAAGTCAGAAACACGCTGCTAATCCAAAGCTAAATCAGGAATTCAGACAGCACAGAAGGCGTACGGGGATGCTGAGGGATCCTAGGGGCCCCCGGGGTGTCAGGTCGTGCCGTGACAATGGTAGAATGTCGTGCCCATGGGCATCCAGGCGGGAGCTCTGGTTATACTACCGGCAAGACAAAAATAAAAGGATATTCATTTTGTAAGACAGGTTGCAAAGTGGTCTCTTAAGGAACTATACAGTGCTGCTTAGTCTGTAATTGTTGCTAAATGGACTCCTAATAGCATTCACATCTTCCTGTAAAACCTATCCATTGCCGGTAACTGGAGAGGTAGACCCTCCACTCACGCTCATGCAGGCGCCCCTGCGAATAAAGGACCCGATCTTTTTCCAGATCAGACTCACGCTGGGGTAAACCTCTTACACTGGAAGGGCTCACTTTGGGCCCTGTTCTTATTCCTCCCACACAAATGCAGCAGCAGGAGAGGTGCGGTTTCCCAGGGCTCCACCCGAGTCTCAAAGATTCAAGAAGGTTTGCACTGTCTGTCCAGCTCACCTCCCTATTCCAGTGCCCAGCTAGGTGTTTAATCTGCATCTGGTATCTGCACCATGCAGTAGGTACTTAAACTACATCTGGTATCTGTACCACATAGTAGGCGCTTCATCTGAATCTGATATCTATAAGATTGGACCAAGGGTTCTCACTCTCCAGCACCAAGCATGTCGCCTGGTGCATAGTAGAACCTCAACCCATATCAGCAGCATGGATGGGGCTTGATGTTGAGATGGAGTGTGGGGACCTGCTGGACCCTGCCCTCCCGTGGAGGAGAAGCCAGCACACCCAGTGGACAGAGCAGTCTGGGCTCTGCCCACGGGGATCTCACTCTCCACCTGCTGCTCCTCCGCTAGGAGGAGCCCGGGAGAGTCCAGAATGCTGGAGCTGGGAGGAGCTCCTCATCTTAGAGGGGGAAACTGAGGCCTGGAGAGGAAATGGGATCTTCCAGAGTCACACAGCTCAGCCATGATCAGATGGGGTCTGGTCCGGCCATAGCACATTACTGAATCGCCCACCTCCGGCAAAGCAGGCTGGGCTGGGCTGGGCTTGCACCAGTGTGGGGACCCTTATCTGCTCCCTGGAACTTTGCCGCGGGGTGCTCAGCGAGCTCGAGCATGCTCTGGCATCCAGCAGAACTGGATTCGAACCTTGCTCAATGCCAAGTACAGACAATATGTTTACTGCATGGGTGACAGCTGAGCTACCCCACCAGCTGGGTGACCTGGACAACTCGTCCAGCTTCCTGCGAGACTGTTTTCTCATCTGAGCAATGCAGGTGATGATGCAAACCCCCAAGTCATGCCCCACGTCCACACAAATAAATGACAATTGACATCTGGTTCTGGACCAGGGCCCAGCGTACTCTGCATGATTGCCAGGGGTGGCTGAGGAACGGGGAAGCTACAGACGAGCGAATGCATGAATGCAATGATGAGAGGACATTTCTGCTTCTCCTGACGGGGTCCCACCCCAGCCCCAGTCCAGCCCATTGCTCCCATGTTTCCCGAGAATCGGCTGAGCACTAAGGGCAGTGTGCAGAGTGCCTGGGCTGCTCCCCGACCCCTAGGACCACCCTTCAGAAGCTCGCAGATCAGCACGTGGCCCCCGGTCTCTCCTCCACCCTCACCAACCCCTGTGGCTTCTGGCTCTTCATCTGACATGGTCTCACATCAGCCTTTTCTGTAACAGCGACTGCGGTTTTCTGCTTCCTGTATTTCTTGAGAATCAGCTGAGCGCTAAGGGCTGTGCATTTAAAACACACAGTGACATCACCGGTGGCAGACACCAGGGAGGGGGCGCCTTTGGGAACTGTCAGTGCGTACTCTGAGTGGCAGTAAAATGAGCAAGGCGCTTTCTGAATTCACTTGTCACGTCTTCCCTTGATCATCGCCCCATTAAGAGATGAGACACCTGGGGACCTCCCTGATGTCCCCTGGCTGGGGGGTCATGTCAGAGCTGGAATGAGGACAGGGGTCCCCAGTCTAGGTGCTGCTCCCTGGAGCCCCCTCAAATTCAGGGGGCCCCACAGCACACCACGGGCCCTCCACGCCTGCTCTCCCAGGTGCAGGGGGAATCCGGGGATCAGGAAAAACTACGAGGCAGTGGCATCCGTTCGGCAGGACCAGCTGCTGCTTGTGACGCTCACTCACTCATTCATTTATTCCTTCAACATCAGCTGAGTGCTTGTGTGGGGCACAGGTCTAACCCAAGTGGTATTTCCAGGCTAAATTCTCAAATACCCTCTCAAGGGCATCACCGATCAGTGTTCTCTTTTTTCCTAAAGACGCAAATGTCTCCCTGCCTGCACCCCTGTCCCGATGTCTGTAGAGGCGACTCTGCTGCGTGCCCCAGTTGGAGCCCCTCCGAGGCTGCCCGGCTCCATCTGCCCGAGCCCCCAGGGGACCAGCATGGACGCCTCACTCCTGGTGCCCTTGGCCTGCTCGGATGCCCTATCTGAAGCCCCCTTGCTGAGTTCCTGCCCATCATCTCATTAACCCCCACCCCACCCCCGTGACCCTGGTGGCTGGTGCATGCAGGGCCAGGGTCTGTCTGTCCTCCCTGCTGTAGGCCTGGCTCTACATGAAGCCTTCCCTGACCTCCCGGCCTCGGAGACTCCCTGCTTCGTGCCTGCACTGTTGCCTCTGCCTGTCTCGTTTCCAAAGGTGGACACAGCCTTTGGGGCCAGCCCTGGAGCCACAGCCACACCCCAGCTGGCGATGCACAGAGGGGTCTCCTCAAGCAGCTTGGGGGTGGCTTCAGGGCCAGGCTGGCTAGACAGACAGAACTTGGAGGATGCAGAGGAGATGAGTGGCTTGACCTCCTGTGTCCACTGCTGCCTAGAGTCTTAGGGGTGGACGGGGCTCCCCGGCCTGGGTCAGCACCAGCCTCCAGGAGCCTTGCTTGGCCTCGCCTCTGAATCACAGTGACCCCAGGGAGAAAGATGACAGTGGGCAGGAGGCAGAGCTTCTGTCCTTGCCCATCCCAGCGCTCAGCTCTCGTGTCCGATGAAGGGCCTCCATGCCCACACGCTGCTGTGTCCAGGCCTAGGCTGGGGTGCTGCCTGGGTGTGTCTCTCACTGACCCCCCCGCCCCCCAAGAGAGCCCCGTGGCTCAGAGGGTGGGGGCAGCACTCAGGAAAGGCGAGCTGCTCACAGCAGAATGAGGGTTTGATTACCTGAAGGTTGGTAGGCTGTCCTCTTACCAACCTGGGCTGGAGTCAGACACGAGATGAGGGCCGCTCAGGGGGTAGGTGCGGCTGAGTTGGGGGTGCTGTGAGTGTGGCGGCTGTAGTGGGTGGGGGTCATTCCCTCCCACTCACTGTCATCTCTCCACAAGAGAAGCTCCCAGCTCTGGACCTGGGTGAGGCTGGGGTCAAACCCAGGTCCCCCACCACCAGCTCTGTGATGACTGGGTGGTAGCCTCACCTTCCTGAGCCTCAGTTTTCTGCCCCGGAAAATGGGATACTAACCCCTCCTTTCCAGGAACAGAGTGAGACCGTGCATGTGAAGACCCCGGGCAGGGTCTAGGGAGACGCAGGCACAGGCAAAACCAACCCCCTGCCTTTCTCTCTTCTGTCCCGAGTCCCCTCCAGGCACCAGTGTCCCCATGGAAGTTCCCCCTCCCCCCAGCAGCCTCCCTACCTCCGCATTCCAATTCTGTCCATCAAGAAACCTTTACAGCAGTGAAAGTCAAAGAGAGGGGAGGCGGGGACGGCCTGCAGAAAGCTGACATCGCATTAAAAGGTGCCACCAAGATGCCCTGGACACCCCCCAGCAAACGGCAGTCCACACCAGTCCTCATGTTCCATAAAACTCTACGAAGGGGCCTGATCCCTGCAGAACCTGCCGAGTGCACGCACCCCCTGACTCCTCTGGGCTTAACCATCACACCCGCCAGTGCCTTCCGCATGGGGCCCCCTCGTGCGAGCAAGTGGCAGGCTCTGTGTTCCCATTTCCAGGGTGGGGTTACACCCCGTTTCCCAGGAGGTGCCTGACCTGTCCAGGTCCGTCTCTGTGACACTGATCTGTTTCTCTGGATGGAGTCAAGCATGCAGGACAGCTGAGGGCACACCCAGGGTACTTCCTCTGACTCATTCTGGGGTCCCAAGGGGGCCAGGAGGCAACCCTGGGCTTGCAAAATCCCCAGTTCTCTTAGAACTTGGCATGAGTGGCGTACCTGGAAATGATCAAGTTCCCTGACCCACAACCAGGCAGAGAGCAGAATCAGGAGACTCTCTCAGGCCAGGAAAACAGAAAGTAAACTTCAGATGAAAAACCAAATCAACCAAAAAAAAAAGTGGCAGGTGATCAGACTGTTTTTCACTGCTTTGCCAGGACTCCAGAGCAGGAAGACTCTTTATTCCCTCCAGAGCAGCCACTACCACCCCCCAACCCCCCAACTCTGCCTGGATGGAGGCTGGCCCAGGGCAGGGGCAGACACAGACACCAGGGTAACTTTCCCTGCCTCCAGGCCCAACCACTGTTTTAAACCCCTTCGTCCAAATGAACTCAGGTGGAAGAGTGAAGGGTGACGCAGAGAGCTGGGAGGTAGACGCCTCACCTGCCCTGAGGGCCCCAGCCCCCCCGCCCCCGTGCACAGAGAGGTGCTGGGCGCAGCACCTACCTTTCTCTTGTTGGTCGGGCAGATGTAGAAGTTGTCGATGACGGTGGTGACACCAGGCTGGAGGGTGAGCTTGGTGTAGGATGTGCCGAAGTCCGACGACCTGTGGGGACAGGACGACAGCTGTCAGCCACGGGTCCCTGCCACGCCTGTGGGCCCTGATGGTGTCCGGCACAGGCTGTGTGCCAGGGGTCTCTGGGGATGCCCAGGGCTCCCCCAGCTCTGTCTTCCAGCGAGCCACCTGCCCTGGGTATCCCACAGTGTCTCACCCTGTCCACGGTCTGTGTGAGTTCTGCCGTAGCTTCATCACTCTCGTTAGGAAGGGTCTCGCAGGTCCTGGCCATGTCTTTTTGATTCCTCAGAAAACCCTGACAGATTATGACCCTATGTCCATCTTGCAGAGGGCCAGAGGACCAGAGGGGATCTGTTCCTGCCTGAAATCACTCAGCGAACAGGTGGCCAACTCAGGACCTGCATACTAGCCCGCCCACGAACAGCTGGCATCCTGTTTGTTCTACAGAAGGTCCCCACCACCCTGATCCTGTCTGCTTGTCCATTTCCCTCTCTGGACCGTGAGTTCCTCCAGGGAGCTGCACGCTCCTCCCTGACCACATGCGCCCCCAGGGCCCCTGGGAATCAGACCCCCGTCCCCGAGCCAGCCGGTGGGCATCGGCACCCGCTCTACTCTGTGGGGCCCAGGGGCCCGTGTTCCTGTCTGTAAGGAAGGCCTGCAGGAAGGAGCCTCCAAGTTCTAACCTCTGCCCAGAGCAGCCGCAGCAGCAGAAGAGATACAGGCATCAAGGGCAATTTCACGGCAGTCAGAGCATCGGGACATGGAGTTAATCCCATGTTGAAGCTCAGCACCCTCAGCTGAGCTCAGCTCAGGGACCCTGGGCCCCGCGCTCCTTGGGACCAGCTGGTTAAAAGGTGCAGTGACCGCACAGCCGGAGGCACAGTCTGACCCAGGCGCCACTTTCCACCCCCTCCCTAAACTGACACGTGAAGTCCCGGAGGCTTCAGTTTCTCCCAGAGCATCCGGTCTTCTGACCAGTCAGGAAGCTCACCCCGAGGTGGGGACACAGACAGGAGCGGGCGTCCAGGGCTACTGAGGCCCGCTGGGCTGGCGCCGCTTGGACCTGTCCATCTGATCACCACTGAGACGGGTTGGATGGAGCTGAGCTCCAGGGCTGAGGGTGGCTGATCCCAGCTATTGGCGGGGGCTCAGCTGGTATCCGGTCCCCGGACCCTGGCACTGTGTGGGGCCTGGGCTGCAGGTGGCCCCCTCCGGACCCATCAAAGGGCTGGGTCAAGCTGTGAGTCTCAGACTTACTTGCCCAGTGTAGCCGGGGTCCAGGGTGAGGCCTGGAGCTGCCCAGGGTAAATGCCCCACCCCACCGACAGTGCTGTAGCTTCATCCCATCATAGTACATCCTCACCTTTCTACAGGGATGTACTTCCTCCCTGCCTCTTTCCTAAGCCTGCCCTTTTCCAGAGGCTCTAGGAAGATGGGTCGTGTTTATAGCCCTGGGGCCCAGTGGCCCCTTGTCCCCAGAGGTCAGGTCCTTCAAAGGCCTGAGGTCACAAGGTCCTTCCCCAGGACCGGACGGAAAGCAGCCCCTGTGCCCCTGACTCCCGGGAACTCCAGCAGGGGCTGCCCCCACCCCACCCCACCCAGTCTCCTTCCCCCAACAGGATCCTCCGACTATCTACCCACTCCCCTCCCCAGGTGCCATTAGGGAAGCACCTACTCTCAACACCTTGGAGAATTACTTTCCTTGGGAAGGAGGAAGCCGAGGCCCATTACCAGAGGAATGAGTCAAAGGCCCAGGAACTCCAGAACCCCTGGGAGAGAAACAGCGTGTGCCTGGCTACCTCCAGCCTCTTGGTCCCCTCCCCTCTCCCTCCCGCCCAGCAAGCCACCTCTCAGATCTGTGATGGGCTCTGCCTCCGGGACACCTGGCCGTCTACACTTCCCTCCATCCAGACACCTGCCCGCCCCAGCCCAGCTGCTCCCTCCCCCCACCTGTGGCCACAGCAGCCTGTTCACACCTGCTCACTCAAGGGCGCCTGCTGGCGTGAGCCCTCGGCAGGGAGCGAGTGGGACCCTGCGGCCTGGGAATCTGTATTCTACCAGGGCCTGGGGAGCTGGCTGATAAAAAAGCAAAAACACAGCTCTGTCAAAGGAGACAAAGACTGGGAAGAAGCATAAACAGGGTGCGGGACAGAAGGGGCAGTAGAGAGTTGGCTCAGAGCGCGGCAGGGACGGCCCTCAGACACCGGGCTGAGACAGGAAGAGAGGGTGCTACGCGCCAGCTACAGACACCAAGGACTGCCAGCCACCCCCAGGAGCTCAGAGAGAGGCTAGGAACAGATTTCCCCTACATCCTCCAGGAGACCCAACCCTACCAACACCCAGAACCCAAGCTTCCAGGCTCCAGACTGGGGACAACAGTTTCCACTGTCTAAAGGCAGTATGGTGCTTCATATGACAGCCCCAGAAAATCCTCCGTGTAGAAGGAGGTGCAGACACAAAGTCCCGAGGAGAGGCCCCTCTCCCCTCTCCTCTCTGGACAGGGAAGGTGAAAGTGAAAATGAAAGTCATTCAGTCATGTCCGACTCTTTGTGGCCCCATGGACTGTAGCACGCCAGGCCTCCCTGTCTATCACCAACTGCCGGAGTTTACTCAAACTCATGTCCGTCAAGTCAGTGATGCCATCCAACCATCTCATCCTCTGAAACCCCCTTCTCCTCCCACCGTCAATTCTTCCCAGCATTAGAGTCTTTTCAAATGAGTCAGTTCTTTGCATCAAGTGGCCAAAGTATTGGAGTTTCAGCTTTAGCTTCAGTCCTTCCAATGAATATTCAGGGCTGATTTCCTTTAGGATGGACTGGTTGGATCTTCTTGCAGTCCAAGGGACTCTCAAGAGTCTTCTCCAACACCACAGTTCAAAAGCATCAATTTTTCAGCGCTCAGATTTCTTTATAGTTCATCTCTCACATCCATACATGACCACTGGAAAAACCATATCTTTGACTAGATGGACCTTTGTTGGCAAAGTAATATCTCTGCTTTTTAATATGCTGTCTAGGTTGGTCATAGCTTTTCTTCCAAGGAGCAAGCATCTTTTAATTTCATGGCTGCAGTGATGTGCAGTGCTCAGTATGCAAACCAGATTTGCCAGGGAACACCCCAAACACCCGATGATGCACAGGGTGGGTGTCTGTCTCTTCCCTGGAGTGCGATATCTCTCTGTTATGAGCTCACCAAGCTTGAGGCACAGATGACTCAATTAAACGCCTTCCGTTCCTGATTCTTCTCTAAACTCCCCACAGCCCCAGGGTACCAGCCCTGAACCTAATGCCACCTCCTCCTGCAGTGCCACCAGGTACCAGAACAGGAAGGTTGTGTGACCTCCAGTGAGCAAGTATCCATCTCTGGGCAAGTTTCCCATAGAAACCAGTCAGATTCGCCTGATGTCTGAACACCAGCCAACAAGTGCCCCCTGGACTTGCCTGTTGAGGGGAGACTCCCCGATTCATCTCCGGATGGTCAGAATTCCTGTGAGAGCTGAGCATGTCCAGAAGGAAGAACAGGAGCGAGGGGAGGAGGGAAAAAGGAGGGTGGGGAGGAGGGGAGCAGGAGAGAGGAGGAGGGGAACAGTGCTCACCCAGGGTCTCCTCTGGGCCAGACCTCCTCCCAACCTACACCCTGACCTTCCCCAGTGCTAAGACCATCTCCTAGTTCTGACTGTAACTCAAAAGTGATCATCCCATCTAGATTTATTCAAATTAAAAATTTTGAATAAAAATAGACTCTACATCCAGCAAATAGATATATGAAAGGCAAGTGCAGTTGGAAAATTGCTATTTGTAAATTGGCTGCTTAATTGCTAAGTGTTTGTACATATGCACTGTAAAAAAATGATTTAATTGAGCCGTTTTCATACTCTATAATTATTTCATTGGCATAGACATGTGTTCAGCTCCCGCCCCTCCCCCAAGGGTGAGCCCCCCGGCTCCTAGGATCTGCTTGGCTACCTTGGAAAACCGCGCAGGTGGGAAGGGGGTGACCCCTGCGTGGCTGGTGCCACCTGCAAGCTTGTGGTCTTGAGCAAGGCCTGGACCTTGGCAAGACTCCGTCTATCTGTAAAAGGGGCCAACGGCACAGACCTCAGACACCCACAGTGAGGCTGGACATGGTGGACTCACAGTCCCGGGGCCACCTGAGGGGTGCTGACCCCGCACCGCGTCTGTGTGGACCTCGCTCTGGCTGGACACACAGCTGCGTGGACTTGCCGTCTGTGCCCTGATGATCAGGCCTCTGAGGGCCAGCACCGCCCCTGCCTGGTCACTGTGCCAAGCCCCTGGACAGACCCCAGGGCCGTGCCAGGGGTCTGGGGCCCGGCTGGGAAGGGATGTGTACAGAGTTCTTCCATGGCACAGCCAGGACTCAACTCTGGTCTCCGGGCACCTCCCCACCTCCTTCCCAGCAGGGGAGGCATTGTGTGTTAGCACGGTTTCCCAGCTGACCACCCTGCTGATGTGAGATGAGAAGGGACGGATGGCAAGGGGCCACCACCCAGGGGTCCTCAGGAACTGACAACCCCAGGGGACCTGGAAAGCTGAGGCTCTGATCCGCCACCCAGGGCAGACAAATACACCCTCGTGAAATCATTGAGAGAAAGACCTGCCCAAGCCGCTGATAGACAGTCAAGTCATTCTAGAAAATTCTATGATGTGGCTTGAGATTTTGAGTGTGAAATGTGGAGTCAGGTGCCAGCTGGGTGGGTGAGCTGCTGGAAGGGGTCTCAGTGTGCCCTTGATGGGGCACGACAGCCATGGTGAGGGAGACGCCAGTCAGGTCACCCCGAGGTTCTGAGACTGTGGTCTCCCTCCAGTGGGAAAGGCGTCTTGGGGGGAGATTAATAAACATGGGGGCTTACACGGTCTGGACACCACACCCAGGGTGGAGCTCAACCTCCTTTAGACAGGATGACCACATTGGCCCAGGAGCACGCCTTCCCATTTTACAGGTGGGAAAACTGAGGCTCAAGGCATACCACCTGCCTTGCGCAGGATCTCACAGCAGCTACAGGAAGCTCA